CTAAAATAATTTGAGTGGAGCGACAGTATAAATAGGGAAATGCAAATAGTGTAGGTCTCGGAGTTTCCAACAGGACCTTTAGCGTCTACAACATCTTGAATTAGCCACCTCTCTAACAGGCTCATGGTTTGTGGACCCAGCCCCATCCGGTTCAAAATTCAATTGTGTGTTCGCTTTCCTTTCATGATCGCGAGAATGTACGCGAAGAAAGACGAAAAAGACTGCAAGTAGCCTGTGCTGGTCATACCGAGACAGTATAATTGTAGCTAAGAAAGAAAAACAATTATTATTCTCGTGCATAGGTGGTAGAGCAATAAAGCAGGGGGTGTTATAGCCTTCCCTAGGCCTCTCCCCTGCGTTTCATAACGGGAAATATCATTAGCGGAACAGACAATTGTCTCAGACTTTTCTACGCAAAATTTTCAGTCTCGTGACTCATGACGAATGGTTTCATTTTTATTTCAACTACCAAGTAAGTTTAATCGACCACGAACACACTTGACAGTGGTTAGATTGCGAAGAGGTTTGCTTGAACCAACAACTTACGCGAAGGACAGATAAGGAAATCTGAGAAGAGATACCAATTCGGATTGTTTCAAGAGATTTTCACTAAAACAGTGTCCCTAGGGCTAATTTAGCTTTTTGCATCGCATCCTTATGCGGGTGGTCGAAATTCTTTCCTCTTTTGAAAATAATCGTGGAAACGGAATCCAACCAAAACACTGAAACATCATCAACTTCTTTATAGACTTGACAGAGTGGAGAGTTACGTTTTCGTCAAAATCCAACCCGCCACCTCAACACTGTTTCTTTTTAATTTAGTAGGGTTTTATCAGTTTGTCTTTAGTTCGGATAGCAGTCAAACGCAAGGATGACCATGGAGGCAAGGTAAGATAAAAAGTTACCCTGAAAGCTATCTTTCTCAATTTTAGAACTGTCGAAAAGGAATGAGATTAGTAGTAAATATTGTGATTATTGGTAAAATTACTAGATTTTCATCTCCAAACTAGATCGTGTAATCCTCTCATGCGATTCTCGTGATCTGAAACATCGTGATTTTCACAATTGCAGTTACCTGATAGCTGCCTCGCAAATTGAATTAATACTTCCCCAGTATTGTAATGAAAATAGATAAGGAATGCATAGATTGCTAGACGTTTTCAACGATTTGTTACGATTCTCAAGTTCCTTGGACACTTTATCACGTAACTTTGGTCACGCTAAGAACATCGGAACTGATGTTGTTGTGTTTTATTCTTCCCGTTGTCTGAACCAACAAAAAAGGCACGGGACAAGGTTACACCTTAATTGTTTCATTAATGATGGGATTGAATTGTTAAGCAACTGTTCAGTGAATTTCAATGGTAAATTGGAATTGTAAGTATTTTGCAACATGGCTTGATCCAGGCCATGTTGTTGGAGAACTACTCCAGCGCAAAAGTGACACAAATCACGACTGAAATTCACCTTTTTGCTAATTGGCCGCTCTTTTACCCCGGTGAAAGGGTGGATTCAGATTCCCCCCCCCCCCCGTGGGGTTTTCAATTACTTGTCTGACGCTAAAATTCTTGCAACGACAGGATGTCACTATACTCAAAATGAAGTACAGAAAACTAACTTGTCTTGAAATATTTCTTGGCTCATTTAGGCTGTAGTGTAACAAAAAATGACTGTATTTTCTGAATCAAATTTGGACCCCAAACACCTGAATCCACCCCTGAGTTCACCGAAGTGTAAATCAGTGATTTAGGATAGTACATATTGTGCTTTTGGGGCCCCTCTTTGGGTGAGATACTTAGGTGTTACAAGGCAAAGTGGGAGATGTATGGAAGGACGTGCATGACACACATGATCAGGACCACTAATGCATTTGATCTGAAACACAACAAATAATAATGATTAGCTTCATTTAAAGAGAGGAGCCCGTCTCAATCTCCTCCTAAACAACCGGTTGTTTACTACAGATGTACCTCCCGCCCTTTCCATGATTCGTTTAAGATCCAAACAAAAAAAAAATCATTAATTCAATGCCCTTAGTTTTCTTTTGTTTTTTTCCTTTTGTACGCTGTTGTATGTTATTACAATTTTTCATCGCTGCCTGCATGGAATGTGTCATGTTGTGAAGTTTATTAGCGTAAGTACTTAAAGTTTGACATTAGTAGTTTCTTAGTTACTTCGTTTCGCTCGTTGGAGGCAGTGGTTCCTTCTCGTAAATCGCTACTCAAAATCGCAGCAAGAGCTACCTTAAGCAACAAATGCGTCCCAGCAACAAATGCATCATTCATAAAGTTCACTCTAGTCCTTTCTCGAATCTTCTTTTAAAGTTTTTTAACTTTCTATTTTAATTTTAACCACACTTAAAATATTGATCCGTTAACCGCAGTCGCCTCCGGCGTAGGATATTAAATAAAGCAAGTTAAAATTTACAAGACTCCTCCCGATAGAGAGGTGTATTCATTTGGTCACGCGAGCGATATTGTTGCAAATATTATCGTTTAACTCTTTTAAATCCAATTTATGTGTGCTAAATGTATTAAGAGAAAACTAATTTGACGACAGATTCTTAATTTTTACTGAGATTCGCTCAATTAAACGTGTGCCTACGACGAAACTGATTTATTTCAGATAAGTAAAGGTAGACAGTAGTTACAAAACTTCCTGAGATGTTCCTTTTTAATAAATTCCGTTCGATGCTTCCTAAAAAATGTTAGGCGGGTCGAATTAGTATATTTTAACTTTTGGGGCAAAGTACTGTCAATTAACTTACTAAGAAGAAATTGAAATCCCGACATAAAGGGGCGTAATTATAGTACAGTATTAGCGTGTAGAATTCCTTTAGTATTGTAAAAGTTCAGTGCAGTGTGAAATTTGCAAACAAAATCCGCAGTCTCGGAAAGAACTCGTTCGGCGTTCTGCACCGGATCAAGACAGTTTTCATCGGTATAGAGGACAGGATGGGAATAATACATTCATCAAAATCATACGATCTCCCTTACATCCCAGATAATAAGCCACAACCCAGGTATGCACTCCGAAAACAATGTAAACAACATTGCCTTTGAAACTTGTAATGCTTAGTTAACACTAGTTTTGATGGCCACGAACAAAACAGTGGTTAAAAAATGATGGCACTCTTCGTTAAGCCTTTTTTGATTGTCAATCTCTTCATTTCAAGCGTCACTAAACATTTGATCCTCTCATTCGGCAATGTTCAACTCGATTGAATTCTCGTTGGCGATTTCAGTTTTAGTTGTTTATTGGATGAAATTCTTTCGTTTAAGCCATTGCCACTGAGCTCATGCTGCGACTGATGCCAAATGCATTCCCGAGTGTCGACTAAAGAGTAAATTTAAACTAATCACTTCTAAGCTTTTCTTGCGAAGCGACCCAAAACTTTCGCTTATCAAAGTTCACATTTGGTTCACTTACATGTAAGCGTTTTCCCTGTAAACTGCAAATACCACTTAAAAGTCTTTCCTCTATTCATTAAGTATGAATTATCAAAGGAGAGGTCAGCACTTTAACAATCACACCTTGCACGCAATAGCTTACTAGTTTAGATTTCCGCAGATCATTTAATTTTACTGCACTTAAGGTTAAGCAGAAAGTTAGTGGCATAGGTTATTCCCTTCATTTAATTGAATTGTTTTCTTCTGTAATTTTGTTTTGCTATTTTGATCATATTACGCAGCAGAATATTTGAATTCCTGAAATAGTGGTGCTGAAATTATGTCTACGATCTATAACCTCGCTGGAGGTTGTTTAAAAATAGGTATGCAATGCGTACAAAGGTTCAATCGCAAGGCTATTCGCAAGGCTATTCCCAAGCCCAGAGATCGGGATGAATTGGAATATTTGTACACAGTTAAAAAATGACTGAGGCTGAATCATGTCGTTTTGACTTCAACTTGCAGCGGCGGAAAGTCATCTGAGTTGACTGACCTTCAGATTGAATTGATCCATGGCTCCTGGGAAAAAGTCAAACCAAATAAGAAGTACCATGGTGAACGGTTATTTCATAAGTGAGTAAATTACCTCCTCATGTTGGCCATTATCCCGTTACACCCTAACATCAGTATGCATATTCTCCATACTGTTCTCTTAACGTTTCCCAAGGTGGTGGCAAGAAGGATTTGTTAAACAATCAAGGGCTTCTTTAGTTGGTGATCATTTCCTTTATTCTCATGACCTTGATGCATGATTCAGGGGTGATACTGTAAGGAGAACTTGAATACTGGTCACTCTTCCAGTTTAAAGGGTTAAGTGAGGGGTAAAATAGAGTCTTTTCTCAACAGTGATTACACTGTCAGTAATGATTCCCATTAGAAAAATGGTTGACCCAAGTACTTAAATAAAAAAACATCATTAAGGGTGATGCCACTACATAGAGACAGCTGTGACTGAAACTGAAGCTGGCCTTTGATCTGCAAAATTAGCTTCTTGCAATATATTGGTGCCGTGTCACTGAATAAACATTTGTCATAATAGGCATTTTCGTCAAAAAAAATCAAATCAAATCAATAGCCTTATACACAAAAGCAAGATGTAAATCAAACCCTTTCTGGGTGCCTGTGTCATCTCTCAGGAAAACGCAAGTACAAAGAAATGTGAATTAAACAACAAAGTTTGTAACTCGTTTGGAGCTTGGACTGTCTATAGTAACTGACAGGACCATCACATAACCTCAGGGTTCATCACATGATTCATCAAACTGAGGATTGAAAGAAACTCACCCAAGTTCTGCATGACTCGTAGACAACTTTTAACTTTTTGACAATGTTGATGAAGCTGTAAACAATGTTTCTCTATAGCCTTCTTCAGTCCAAGCAATAGTCATAGTTACAAGACTGGACTGGTATTTGTGGTTAGGGCTGTCTTACTCAACAGCAAAGGGTGGGAAATGAAGAATATGAGACTAGCAAAAAGTAAGATTGCTTAGAGCTTAAGCAATAGACAAGTGGAAACTTTTATCTGACACACCCTCAGAAATTTAAAACCAACCCTCATAGCTAAAAAGTTATTATTTATTCTTAATACTTGCAGGTTATTTAATGTGGCACCTCACTTGCAGGAGCTATTTCCATTCGGCAGCGACTTAACAAATCCTATGTTCACTATGCATGCCTTGAATGTCATGAACACGCTAGACCTTGCAGTACAACACTTGGATAAACTGGACATACTCATACCTAAGCTAAAAGAACTTGGACAGATGCACGCAGCATTTGAACTTACAGAAGTGGAATTTCAGGTAGTATACCATTTATCTATCATTATTCATGCACGTGAGAAAGGTGCATGCGAGGGTGCATGTGAGTGGGGCAGGGGAAGGGAATGAGAAGGGGTAAAGAGGGAGACTCTCTCCTTTTGTTCCTTCTTATCCAATCAACATTGAAGTAGTGCTAGTCTCCCACTACCACATATGAAACTAAGAGACAACTGGGGATGAGTCAGGCTTTTCACCCTGATGATTATTGTACTCTCTAGTATTTCCTACCACACCTCCAATCCTTAGTTCTGTGTCATGGAAAATTACCTCTCAATGCTCTGAACATTTTCCCTAGCTGAGATTGAGGTGATTTCTAATGATTTCCTTTTTTTCTCTCCAAAATTGTTCTTCTTTCAGTATGTTGGTGAGTCTCTCATATGGGTTCTAGAGACAGGCCTGGGAGATGACTTCACACCAAAGTTAAAGAAAGCCTGGTGTGATGCCTTTGCAATCATCACTAGTGTTATGTTGGGTGCCATTAAAGATATCAATGGCTAGTGAAAGACATCTACAACATCGAATCTAAGTAGTTCATCAGATTAGGATCCATTTTATGTGATTAAAAGACAAATACTCAGCCCAAGAGATAACTGACAGCATAATAAAATTTTGCATATTAAACATATCAAAGTGTCAAAATCCCTGACTCAGAGTGATTTTTTTCATTTGAGAATTTGGGAGTTTAAAGAAGTTGAAACTTCATGTAAGTTGAACCATAGTCAAGAAATCACATATTAAGTAATTGAAAAAAAAAAATACAAGGACACCTTTGATTTTTCAAACGTTCAACTTCTAAAATTTTACAAAAAAACTGTTACAAACATATCGCTTTAAATATTAGTATTAAGAAAACAGTAAGAACTTCTTAACTGCAATACTTTAAGAATAATACATAGAACAAATCATTTTGTTCTTTTTTTTGAAAAAGTGTACTTTTTTACTGTCTCTCATTATTGTTATTCTACACTGAGAAAAATGTGACAAACAGTCTTCTTTGTGTTTATCTGAACAGCACAGAAAAGACATACTATTTCACAAATGGTTGAAAGTACACATGTATCACATACAACATACTGTGATGTGCTTATGTACAAGAAAGGAACCATAACAATTCTATTTACAAGTAATTTAGAACTGGTTAGTTAACAGTAGTTTTATACAGATAGCATCTGAAAAAAAGATAGAAAATACTTTACAGAAACATTCATACTTCTACTGAGTACATTTGTGGGAAATGTAATGAAATTCAAGGTTTCTATCAAATTTTTAGGTGTCATAATAAACAAAACTTTTCTAGGCTCAAATGCTTTTTGGCTCATCATGATCAAAAGTTAGTATGTCTAATAACAGCACTCAGCCCTACTCCCCTTTATTAATAAGTATCACCTGTAGCCATTGTCATAGTGAATGTTTCTATTTGTGCAAATGGCACAAAACTTAATTCATTGTTGCTATGTTTTCAACATATTAAGAAAGCTAAAATGAAAATCACAAGAATAGCCTTTGAAAAGTGCTAACCAAGAAAATGACACAAATGATGTAACCAGAATAATTTACAGAAACAATTTTCAAAAACAAAAAGTTGCCCTCTTACCTGGGAAAAACAATAATTATTTCTGTAAAATGAACTGCTCTATAAATTCATTTTGTTCACTCTCAACCTTTTGTAAAGCTTCATGTTGGACACGGAAACTAAAATAAAACATCAAACAGATCTCATTACATTCTTTTCAAAAACTGTGGTACTCTGTATATCATGAGGAAGACCAATCTAGTCCTTGCTTAGGAAGTATAAAATCAATAGGAAATATTATCAAAAAAATGGCAGTAGAGCAACACAAATATAGTTTAATCATAATTATGAATAAAGGGGATAATTTTCTAAAGAAACTGTGGTGCTGTGTCCATAGGAGTTATTACAAGATGATTTGGTTTCATCAACTGAGTTGATAATGTAAAATTGTCAATGTAAAGATTTTCCTAAGCTAGCTAATTTAATCAGACTTAGTCTACTGGACTGCCTTGGTGGTTGATTCTTACCGTTCCAATTGTGTTTTCTTTTCAGCAATCAGTGCTTGTAGTTGTTGCTGCTGTGCTTCTCTCTGCTTTGCTATTGACTTTAATAGATTTCTTGAGCCAATAGCCTAAGGGAAATTTTGTGATTTAATTTGAGAGGTTAACTTCTATTCACATGCAACTTACTATCCCCTTTAATAATATAAACAAAAAAACTAAAATCCAGCTGATTGTGCACATAGAATGTTTTTTTGCACCTAAATAATCAAGTCATAATTAGCATTCAAGCAATTATGACTAATGATACTTGAACAGAAAGTACATATCAAGTCCTCTTCACAAACCCACTTAATCTGTTAGCAGCTATATCAACTTGCTTCAATCACCAACTATAGAAGACTGCTAAGGTTACTGCATGACAGAGGGCAAACTTAGGTAAAAAGAAAAAGCTGTTAAATGCCTCTGGGTGGGGGAAACCTCATTACAAAGATTTGTTCAGCAGGACTAATTACCTTTGTTCAGAGTTTAATCATCAATCCTTAGGCAACGTAATTAAGGGAAGTGCCTTATTTGAGAAGGAAACCAAGCCTGTAAAACCCTAACCTTGTTTAAGACAAAAATTGTTCATTTTGTTGCTTTGCTTTTTACTGAAAGACCCAGGGTCGGCTGGTGACTAACTTTTATGTTTGGGGAGTTATTGTCATCATTATAGCTCTAGAGCACTGGGCAACACAGATTCCTGAGGCCAAGGCTGTCAAGTGACAAATTATTCTACTTAAAGTACAGCTTTGCCATTTGAGATGGCAACTGTGTGTAGAATTATTAATACCACACCACCTATCAACAATATCAAGCCCTGTTGAAAGCATTCTTTTTATTTACACAAAACCCTATTCAATATGGTAAAATTTTGTAACTTGCTTGAGATTCAAAACCCTGAAGAAAACAACCTCTTATGTGGCACATAGCTGTTTAGGCCGAGTAAGGGAGTCGTTCCAAAACCCCAAGCATCACTTTCGGTCACACTGTTTTACATTGCGTTAGTTAGGAAGTTGTTGAGCATAATGGCCATGTCTATCAATTAACAAAATGTTGTCAACTCTCTGAACAAGAATAAAACGTCAAAAAGAGACTTTGGGCATTTCATTTTAAAGGGTCAAATTGAAAACAATCTTACCAAACGCAGTATAAATATATGGCTGTCGCCAAGGTGACTTGCTCGGTGTTTTGATCATGTAAACAATAAGACATCAAGGAAGAGCAAATCATACCTTCATTTTCTCCTTCTCGACCTCTTTAGCTAAAGCATCAACCATATCGATAAATCCTCCCACTATTTTTTGAAACTCTCCAATTTCTAAAGGGATGAAAAGATTAATCAGCCTTAAAAATTGCGGCGGTTGCTAGAGGCCGCAAAAGCAATCAATAAATTTAGCAATAGCAAGTCTGTAGCAAAACAATTCACTTTGCACCAAACAGTGCCCATCATAAAATGAGTGAACTTACTGTCAACAAATTCTTTACATTCTTCCTTGAGTTCTTGCGTTTGCTGACTAATTTCAGGCTCTAAAACCCGAACTTTGTTTAGCTCATCGAAGTGAAACCCAGCCGGGCCGTCCGCCATGTTTGTTCGAAAACAATATCCCAGAATACCACGCGGGTTGAACGCGGTGGAAACGCTTTCTTCAGACGAGAGGCTATGGGGCTGAGTTTCCGTGCATATTCTTAGTCCTACTCAAAGTACCCTTTCCTGTCAACACCCAGCCTCTAGTCCCTCTTGATGAATTTTTTTTCGGCGGGGAGAGGGGGTGACTGCACTAAAGTTGAAGCCAAACAGGTCTCCCATGCCTAGGCAAGTGTCGTCACACAGGTAAGGGATTATACAAAGTGATGTTTCACAGGACGTTAGAGTGAATCTGGCCACGATTTACCCCATTTATCCAGTCACAATTGTTTAAATTTACATCCACGTGTAATCTCGGCGGAAAATCTTTGCTAAATCCTTCTTCCCCTTTTATTAGTGTGGTTGTGTTTTCAAGAAGGACGGGCTACGTAGATGCAAAATCTTTAAAAACATTTCTTTAATCATCGACCGATCTAACTCTCGATATCCACATACGCAGCCAGCAAAGGAAACGTACTTGCATGCACAAGAAAACAGTCCTCAATGAAAAGTATTTACAGCCACCTTATGCTTTTCAGAAGTCCCGGCTAAGTTTACACTGTTATTTAGTCTACAAATAGTTTTTAACCCAACTCTTCCTGCAAAGAACAAAGCCGTAAAATGATACTAACCCAACCAATCATATGTCCCACCAAAACCATACAACTCACCCCGGGATAAGACCAGGGCTGTGACGAGTGGCTTTGATTCTTCCTCTAATTGTAATTCAAACACAAATTTCCTCGGCTTGATTTAAGCAAAACTGCTCGAGTTAAACCAATCAGTCCTGATACCACACTCATATTGTTAATAATGGCATATCTACTCCAACAATAGTCGACAAACTGGTTTAAACTCGTGTTTCATTTCCATCCCGCTAATAGACTGATATAAGTAAACCTGAATTGTTGTAATCGTTCTAATCTCAGTTGGCGGTTAAAAATCAGCCACTTTCCTATTACGATTAAATACCACGGGGAGTAAGGTTTTTCTCGACCTTTTCCTGAAATATATCTCTTACCATTTGGATTAAAGCAGGATATAAATACTTAGAAACCTGGAGGGGGCCTACAGACTGCAACTATATCCAATTCTTAACTTCCGCGAATTTTGTTCTAGTTCGTCAAAATAGAACGAAAAGATTGTTGACTGAGAACCTGGGTTGAAATGCATGGTATTTCGTAAGGCATGGGAAGCCTTTTAATCCCAGGTAGTCTAGCCCCTCTGTGGTTTCCTTAACAACTAGACAATAACAGACAATATGACAAACAGATACACAAGAACATCGCACTATTTACTAATCTAAAGGCATTGATTATACGCTTTCCTGAGAGAGCAATGCGTCTGTTATCCATCTGATATAACCAAAACATGTGTGTTTTGTAAGAGACTAATTCTTCAATGTTTGTTTACCAAAAGAAACGGAAAAATCCAATAAAGGCACATGTTGAATTCGCGTTGCTAAACGTTGGCACGTTTAAAATTACGGATTCTGATAAACATGCAGACCAGCGTAGTAAAAAATCAAGTTTCTGCAGTTGAAAACTGCAGAATAGTCGACTAGCTTCTTTATTTAACGGTTTTTGTCTTGTTTTCTTGACGAATCGTCGTCATTTTCTGGAATAACTCGTGGTCCGACGGCTCTACGAGTTGCACTGAGTAGTTCAGCATCGGGAAAGTTTCCATTTCCTCTATGCTCGTACAAAAGAACGTTCAGGGACTCCTCGTAAATTCTTGAGTCCGGAAACTCGACTTTTGTCTGCGGTTTTTCTGTGGCATAGACAATTGACGTGCAGCACACCTCAGCAAGCTTTTTCCCGTTTCCGTAGAATGTCCAACAGCAGATTTCGCTATTTCCGATCAAGTCCTTGATAAATAGAATTCGTCCATTGAATCGAAGCGACAGCTTGTCGAAGAGTTCAATATTTTTCAGCAAGTTATCATCTGATTGACTGTTTATGACCACAATAAAACAAAAGAAAAATAAAAACAAGAGATGTCATCATTTGCTAGTTTCCTTTTCGGTCGAGATACGCTACATCACGCGACACTAATAAACAGGGGATTTGCGTAATAAACAAAGTGGGGAGGGGGGAGGGAACGTTTAGCTTCTCATGTTTTTTAATGAGGGTAAATACTAAGGGAAAAACTGAGCTGTTACAAAAATGTTTCTCATTTAAAAAGCAAGTAAGGTCACCTAGATGTGCAACCCTAAAGTACACAGATAAGAATTTCTCTGAAGATCTACATTGTAAGAACTTTTCCATTGCCACTGGTAATGACAAGTTTGAAACTTACCCAGTATACGAATATTTGTTATTTGATCTGTTATATGACAGCTTCACCACAGGCTGTAGAGAAAGGGATAAAATTAACACTACCTTCACATGTTTCAGTTAATATATCAACCAACACATTGTGATGATTTTTAGCTGAGAATGTCAAGTAACAACAAATACATTTGGTCAAATTTTTCACTTCAAGATACTCTTTGGTGTCACGAGATGAAAAAGCCTGTTCAGTTTAACAATTCAATTATCTCATTAAAATTTTTTACCGAAGGATGATAACATGGGATGAAATGATCCCACAAGTGGACTGCAATGAACCTTTTACGCCCCAACAGCAGCATGCATATTCCCCATACTGTTCTTCATACATTTCCTTAAGTGCTAACTTGTTTATCAAACAAGACTTTCTTTGGTTGGTGATCAATTCAATTATTCTTGTGGTCTTACTGTGTGATTCATGGGTGAAATTGTAAGGAGAAATTAGACACTGATCACTCTTAACCCTTTAATCCCCAAGATTAGATTGGTAATTCCCCCCTCTAGCTGCTACACATATCCTTGTAAATCAGTTATGAGAATTTGGTGTTAGATCAAGACAACAACTTCCACCTGATGAGTTTGAATATTCTCACTAACTGTTTGCAGGATAATGTAAGGATATTATTGGGAGACGTTTCATATTGATCACTTCTGGGAGTTAAAGGGTTAAGGGTGGCAGGGTTAAATACCAAGACTAAACTTTTTACAGACCTTTTTACCAGTGACAAGTTGTCTTTCCTCTTTGGATGAGGTTATGAGTGGAACACGGCAGATAGGGTCATGTTCTTCCTTTTTCTTTTCAAGTGCTTTTTCACACTGTTCAACTAGTTGCTCAATCAAGTAATACTTGGCCTCAATCAAGATTTCTTGCAACTCCACTTCATTTTGTGGTAATGGTACAGTTCCATCGCGCAAGAAGTTTAGGATAAGAGAAAAATGTTTTCCACAGCGATCAATAAGAATCCAGCCTAAACAATGAAAAGTAGAATACATTTGGCATTATCCATTTACCATATAACAATCATCTCAAAAATATGATTGCATTTCCAAAGTTATGAGATTTCCATCACAAACAGGCGTTGCCCCAGTTTTCTCCACAAATATAAAGGAACTTTAAGAACCTGTTGGGACTAATATCCCCACAAAACATCAGTAATACACATATGAACATTTTGTCTAAAGCAACTTCCACCAAGCCATTGAAAGCTTTTGAGCCCAAGCAAGTTTCAAACAAAAGAATCTTAGTTTGTTTCATTACAATTAACTAATCACAAGAAGGGTAAATGTTTTGTTTTTTAAGGCAAACTGTTTTACCTCAATCACCAGAAAGGAAAAAAGGATGCCAAAGGAGAGACTGAAAAGAAGTAAGCAAATCCCTCAAATCTGCATTACTTTAAAACCTCATCTTTTCTTATTTATAAATTTCATAGAATATAAACTTTTTGTATATGAGTTTACATATGTATGTTTCCCTTTTCGATTCCCCAATCCCTGAACCAAATTCACCAACTGAAATTGGTGGATAAAATTATGGTGGGCTTAAAGACACCACTTGCTGAAAAAGACAACACTGTTAGCTTAGTAACCTGGTGTTTCTGTATCAGTGTAAGCCATAGGCTTTTTTAGTAATGGAGTATTTCCTACTTGAATAATTTCCCCTTACTTCTGAACAAGAACTTGAAATATAACTATCAACTTTTGAGGACTTCCTTGGTGTGAAGTTCAAGGCACTTCCCTCAAATACCCCTCTATATTTAAGTCTTTCTGATTTAATTTTTTTTCCTTCTACTTTCCTTTCCTTTCCAGCAATGTACGCAACTTTAGACAGTGTACTGTTTTTGAGCATCAGATATTTATGAATGTATGAATGTATGCATTTATATAAATGGTTTCTTTTTGTGACAAACAACACAAAACCAAATCAAACCGTTTGAAAGACATTTCATTCACACCTAAATCAAGCATTGTAAACATGGACGCTACATTCGTGACACATTTTAGTGGGAAATCATACAGACAGTAATGAAATAATAATGAGCAGAGTGTGAGATTCTCTTTTTAAAATACCTTATTTGGTGATTTATCTCTATGTATATAGTGTGAGAGTACGAATGCAGAAATTATTGCGTTTCTCGATCATTAATTCTACGCCGCAACCAAATGTCGGTGTTATTGTACAGTCCAAATAGCAAATAATAGTTCATTAGCTTCGTTTATCTCTGGCAGCAAGACTGAAATTATGGCTGACAACTGTTTTTATTCCAAATATTAATATCTTAAAATAAAGCATACCTTCAGTATCTGTCAAAACCTCCAGTCTACCACTAAACATGGCTCTCAACATGCTGTCTTGCTTGGTGAGTGTTCCGATAGTCGTGTAATGGAGAGACCCTCCGACATTCAATTTAACGTATTTTGTCGGCGATCCATGCACAGTCATATGATGGGTTGCCTCTCCAGACATTCTCCTTCAACAATTGAGCCTCTCAAAGGTTTCCCTGGGAGGTGTGACGGACCTTCGCACAAAAATATGTAGTTATCGAGTTGTCTTGGTTAAATACCAGCTTCCCGAAATAACTCTTACACGGCTCATGTTCAGCGGATCATACATAAGTGTGGTATATGCCAAAGTGAAGTGCCATTACTAGCGACGTTTCAAAATTAATGTGACATGGCCAAAGAGAAAAACCCAAACAAACAAACAAAAGAAAATAGAAAAAAGCTTCCACGTCCTGTACTGATTAATTTTCTAAACGAAATAAATTTAAACATATTACTGCGCAAACGAAGGCTTTGGCCTCGTCAAACAAATCCCTCTTGATGTTGACAAGGTTGAACACGTTTCTCTATCTCCCTTATTTCTCAGTGGTCAAGACGGGCATGAACAGTATATGTTCTCAACCAACTCTCCCAGCCGACGTAAAAAAAATCCTATTTATGAAAGAAATGTTGGCCTATGTAGGTAACTCTCTCCATTCTTCTTTCCCCATATGTGTTTTTACATTGTCTCATAGTAACTTTGATTGGGTTTCCCTTTTTCATTCGTTTTTTTCTGTTGGTCTTCTGAGTAGAGTTACGTACGACCAGCCATCTCCCCTCTCCCCACCCTAGAAAAAAAGTAATATGTTAAAATATGTTTTTTTCCTGTAATCCTGTAAGTTCTTGATGGGTTAGGGTTAGGGTTAGGGTTAAATTAAAGTGTCTAGCGACTAGTTTGAATGGGTCCTTGTCATTTGTTTCTAAGTCGCGATGGTGTTCCCGGACTTCCTGTTTCACCAATGTATAACTTTCTGCTTAGGCTTAACTTTTTGCAATAAGTGCAAGTTATACGGTGTATGACATTGGCGGAGGTGCACGTAAAATGATCAGTGATCTTGATGGATCTCTTGGGTTCCGAAATTTTCTCCTCGTTGTGAATGAGAGGACAACTTTTGCATCGTGAGCGAGCGTATTTGAAAGTTCCAAGTTGGTCATTAGTTTGAAATGAACTTCTGACCAAAAAGTTGCCTGTGCCGGTTTTTGTCGCATTTGAATGGAAATCAGAGGAGGTTGCGAAAAGATAGCACCAGTCTCTGAATCGTCTGATATCGTGTTGACGATAGGTGCCATAATTTTGTCTTAATATCTGGAGATAAGTTTAGTGGGACAACCACAGCCAGAGACGATGGGTCGACCTGGGTTGTTAGGTTTGTGTATTCTAGGTAAAAAGTGAATACACGAAGTTTTAGGAGTGATGGTGGTGTGACTTTTTATAGTGGCCGGCAATTCTTGTTCAGTTATAAGATCGTAAATCGTGTTTTTGACAATAGTTTGGTTGATGAAAGTGAGATCCTCGTCAGAAAGTTGCCGTAAAGCTTCTCCTTGGTAGAGGTTGGCCCGCCAAATAACGACTGCGCTGCCTTTGTCGGCCGCTTTGATAACTATGTTTAGACATATTAGTGCCGACCACTCTTCTGAAGAAATAATGACTTTGAATTTAAGTTTGTTACTATCGTGACGACATTTTTTGATTAAAAAAATCTAAAGATACGAATTGGCCCATCGGGGGAGTCCATTCAGACATTCGAAGTTCCTAGTTTGTGCAGCTAGCATGACATCACGTATAGGCCTGTTTGCTCAAGGGATTTTACATCGCATAGCTAATTTTCTAATACAACCCTACGCCTTAGTTTTTCAGCTGGAAAACTGAAATAGTCATACTATACACAAAAATTATACGGGAATATGATAAAAAGCTCTTCTTTCCATGTCACGCTGTGATATAACACGTGTTCTTCACATGTCTCCAGTTACGTCAATCTAATTGGCTAGCGCGCCTGAGACCGCGCTTTCGTTGCGTGTAAATAAAGTAAAGAAGTCTCACGAAAACCCTGAGGCGTAGACAAACGAAAATGTAGTCACCGAAATAGATCAAGTGCATTCTATACCGGTGAAAAAGTGTTTTTTCTATTACCTTTCTGGATTTTGCAGTACGTCAACCATACGGATCGATTTCCGTGCGAGAGAGAAATGGATAGATAACGGATCATTTTAACAACAACCATCAAAGGACTTTACAGTCTCGATTTCTCGCTGTTGTGTACAAGGAACACGTTCATACTGCACGCGGTCACAAGGTTGTTTTGAAATTCCCCGATAGCCAACTTATCCTCTTATCATGAGTCGGCTATTCACGAATCTGTCCTTCGAATCGTGGCTGAATCCGAACTGTCGGTGGATCTGCCGGAGTAGCGTAACGCAAATAAGATGCAATGCTTCGGTTTTTGGCTCCCAAACACAAGCTTGGTCTTACGTGAAACAACAAACTTTGGACGAAGCGTCTGCGAAGGTTTGTTTGAATTCTAAAGTAGTTGTGATGAGGCTTTCACTGAAGTTGATCTGAACTGGCGTTTTTTTAATTTAGTTTGACGAGATGAATAATCTTTTACCATTCTGTCATCTTCACGAAAGACGACCTTAAGTTAAAATATAATATTTAAAGCTGTCGTTAAAACATCGTTTGTGGTTTTGTGGACGGAAGGTGTATTCAATAAGTGATCTTTTTTTCAGCCATCGATTCGCCTGACCCCGTTCCAAATGCTTTGGGCCGGAAGATTCAAAGATGGAACCCACTTACTAGTAAGATAAAAGTAACTTGTAGCTTTCTCCAGAGATCAAGAATTTTACATTATACTAGGCTCGTTTAAATCTAATATGCTTTTTCTTGTATGGACATGTCTAAATTTTTTAAGGTATTCACACGGTTAAATGGATCCTATGTATTAACATAAAAGTGATATTTTCCTTTTTTAGTTATTTTACAAGAGGAAATTGTATGTTTTGTTGCTCATGCGTCACCCATTGCCATTTTATTGTAACTCAGAAAGAGAGTATGATGATGCACTGTAAATAAAATCACCCTTTGTGGGATAGTTTTACACCCAGCAGGCTTCTCTTTAACCAAAGTACAACAACATACATTAAAATTGGTCTTATCAAAGATAGCAGGGTTTGTACTCTTTAGTACTTTAGAAAAAAATAAAACATGTTTCCTTCTGTTTATGGGAATTGGAGATTTAAAAACAGCTATGCTCTATGCACTGGTGAATGCCCCTAAGCAAAAAAACATGTTGTAAGTGACAGTCAGACAATGCTTTATCACCTGGTACACAGGAAAGAGTCTGGAATAAAAGCTGTGATTAATTTTCCACCTGAGGGATGACAAGTAACCAATATACCCAAAATCATCCTTTTATTCAGATAGGTAGTTTTAAATTTTTTAAAAAATATTGTACCCCATGATTGTTTTGACTAACTATTCATTACATTTTTGCATAATAAGAAAAGGCATGCAAATTACTTTCTGTTTGGCTTTGCTATGAAAATCTTGAATAACTGCTTGCATTGGTTTTCGCTGTAGTTACAACCTTTCCTCTAAATATTTTGACTGCTCCTAATTCAATCATTTTGAATTGAGAAAAAGCAATTTTAAGTTTGTTCTTAAGTAAACCTGAAGTTACAAATATATTCTGCTCTTGAAAATCAGGCAGATCAATTTCTCTTTGTAATGCTAAGTTTTTCAATCAAGAAGACACAAACATGGAAAGAGTGATTTTTTTCAGCATTAATTTTTCATCCCAGTAAATATAGTGGTTGCTTATCATAAAACAATTTGTTGAGGCAAAGTTATTTTTTTGTAATGTGATGGCTTTAAATGTTTTGGTACTTTATAGCTACAGACAAGACTTGTTTATTACAGTTTTATCCTCAAAATGACTTGTGCAGAACATTATGAATTCTTGCCAAGCAAGAAGAATGCTAGTAAATCAATAACAGTATGCAATTATCTGGATTGGAACTTGTTCAAGAAGATTGTTTGAGTGTGATGACTCATGTAAGAAGAGGTTATTTTTAGACAGAATATTTAATTTGCTGTGCTAGCCCAAACTCTTGGCATTTCTTAGTTTTACCTTGGAAATCTATCGGTTATTTTTCAAGTTTACTTTGCAGCTATGAAAGCTATTGCCTCCTCCCTCAGTCTGTTTTAAAATATGCAGTGGATAGAAATTTTGAAATAACCGCATCTTTTCCATGGATAAGTGGAAAATATGTAATGTTTGAATTTTTAATAGCATCAGCAGCTCCCTTAAAAGTGGAGATAAAGTTTGTTTATGTTAAAGAACAGTAGTAGTTACTCAGTTGTTTTAATTTTTTTTTTCAGTAACACCTGGTTGTGAATTTGTTTTCTTATGATACACCTGTGTATTAAGGACTAAAAACAGTTATATAATTAAGCCCAATTAATGCTTTTTAATCTGACTTTGTATTTTGTGACATTTTGTTTTGTCAGAAAAGTGCCCAGTTTCTTCAAAAAGAGTTACCTATTCGGGTTGCACGTCGTGTTGTTGACTTTCAAAAACTGCCTCACATTGCTCTGTGCAATCCAGTCATTCATGATATGGTAGGTGAACTTTGTACATTGCTCTTATCATTTATTTATCACATATGAATTAGGAATAACAGCAATGTTAAAATCCAGTGGATTAGGAGAGAAACTAGATTTTGTAGCCATGATGGGCATTTAACTTGAGTTTGAAGAGTTTGATGCAGCTTGACAAGGAGGATGGCCATATACTGGGTGAATTTACATGCACTGTGATCAGATTAAGAAATAGATATCATGTTAACATGTGCTTGTTTTGCATCATGTTATGAATAATTTAGTTCATTTTTAAGATTTTAAATTTTGTCTTTTTCTTTTAGTTCATTTCTTGAGATGAGTTGCGTTTACTTAACACCCATTAGTTTTCTTTTAAATATTTGGAATCTGTTTCATTTTTATTTCAGTATGAATTATATCTTAGAGCTTTTAGTATGCTGTACAAATTTCCCAAGGTATGTTTTATTCTTTCAATGGACTAATTTGTGAGACATGTTAGTAAAGCTGCAAGTTATCAGTAGAGGAAGTACAAAAAATGCTATTGATATACTTTTCCTCAGGCACCCCTAGTTAGCTTGTAGTCACTCTGGTTATCAGACTAACCTTTCATTCCCCAATGTTATTATGCATATTCTTGATTCTGATCCATATACACTCCTCATAGTAATGACTAGGAGAATTTGCAAAACAATCAAGAATGTCTCTACTTGATGATCTTTTCTATAATTCTGGTGACCTTGATGTTGGATTACAGCAGTGGTGTCGTAAGAAGAAATTAAGTTCTAGTCACTCTGAGAGGTTAAAGGATAGAGGGTTCATGATATAAAATATTTGCTGCCTTTTGTAGATGTATCATTTGCTTCAACTCTGGTACGATGAGCATGTCTATTACTTAATTTCATAGGTGGAAAATCTTGAAGCAGAGGAAAGATATTGTCGTACTATCAGACAACTCTTAGATGATCATCAAAGTGTTGTCACCCACCTAGCAGAGGGATTCCATGAATGCCAGAAAAATGTTCCAGTAAGTCAGAATTTTCAAAAGATTTATTTCACTATCATCTTTGTTCTTTTAGGGATATCTAGATAAAAACTTATCATCAATGTTTTTATGATTGCAGTATGAAATAATAGATGCCTTTTTAAATCGTACCCTGACATCAAGGCTTGGAATCCGCATGTTAGCAGAACATCATCTTGCTCTAAGCATGGACAAGGTGAAGTATTTTAGGTTTAACTGTAGAGATAAGAAGCCTGTGATAATACAAAATCATGTAGTGGTGCTTTGTTCATTGTTGTGCAAGTTTCAAGTCTCATTTTATCATTGCACTGCTCTTTTGGCTTGTTCTGTTTTTGTATTGTTCCCTTAAGACTTAATTTACATGTATTCATATTTTGATATCTACTGGTATTCTTTTCATTCTAACTTGTAAAACTTCCTGAAAATGAGAAAACCTACATACATTTAGCTGCAAAGCAGCATAAGTGATACAGTAGTCTAGGTTTGGATCATGATATCAAACCTGAGAATGGTTTCTCTCCTTGCTTTTCAATTGTTTGCTTATGCAGAAGCAAAATTTCCCTCTTTCTGGAAATGGAATAAAAATTAATGACATTTTAATATGTGTGGAATGTTTGATTTCTGTCACAGCCAAACTACATTGGAATTATTTGTACTCACCTAAACCTTAAACAGATTGTTGAGAGGAGTGGTGACTTTGCCAGGTAAAATTTATTGCGTACAGTCATGTTTGTGATTACTTCAGTGTTAATATTCACAGCCTTTAGTTAGCTTTTACTTAAGACAAGAAGATGTTGACACTAAAAACTGTTGAAGAAAAAAAAAGGTAGTTTTTGCTGTCTTGGGGCTGAGATGAAAAAATGTCAGAGCTGGGACCTTGTACTTCTTGTTAGTAGTCACTTGGATCAGGGTTATTCTGCAAATTTTTTTGGCTTCTTCAGTTGTCAACTCAAAATATCCAGATAGAAGATATCTGTATTGTTACTTTAAAACTTAACAGAAACCCTGTGGGTACTCATGTGTTTATATGAGCAATGTAATGGAATAAGGCGAAAGAAGAAGGTGGGATGGCAGATATTGTGTTTTGTTTTATAGGCAAGTTTGTGAACATACTTATGGTGTAGCTCCAGGACTTATTGTCAATGGCCACACAAAAGCAATCTTTCCTCACATTCCTGCACCTCTTGAATACATTCTTCAGGAACTCTTGAAAAATGCTATGAGGTTAGTGAGTTTCTATTGACCAGCCAAGGTTTCCTTTCTAATGCTAATTTTTATAATCTGCATCCATTGTTTGATATTTGTTTGTCTCAAATCTCAAATAAAAAGGCATCTATTTAGAATAGGAAAGCTCTTTGGGTTTTCATCTGAGTTTTTTTCCTATGTACTTTTTTGATAAGCATTTTCAATTGTTCTTGTAATAGTAATGGTATGGTTGCTATACTTGTAACTGCTAGACACAGGTTAACTGAATGGGAGAACTTCAATGTGTTTGCTGACTTATTCTAGGGCCAGTGTGGAATTTCACTTAGACAGACCTAATGAAGTGCCCAATGTCGTAGTCACACTCTGCAGCAATGATACTGAATTCTTTGTCAGGTAAAAACAACTTCTTCAACATGCATCCACCTTTGTAGCTGTTGTTGATCAGATTGCATCTTGCTTTGAAGTTTTCAAACAGTTTGAATGTAATTTTTCTTAGTTAAGTATTCATTATCTGAGACAAAGGAAAAGATTAGCAAACTGGGTTGATACTTCTTAACTTGGGAAAAATTTAGATTAGAACAGTTGATTGGAATAGCAACCAAATCAAACTTCAATCAAGTTCTTAGTTTTTTAATCATTAATCATTGTGTGGTATTGAATACCTTTGAGCTGTGGTAAAATTAGACAACTATGCCCCTTTAGCCAAAAGATCCTTCATGACAATAAATAAACTTGTCTAACTTTGCAGGATTTCTGATCGTGGAGGTGGCATCCCAGAGTCCCAGCTCCAGGATATCTTCAAGTATTCGTTCACCACTATGGGTGACCGAAGCACCATAAAGCCCTCAGACAGTGACAACATCCTCTCAGAAATGTGTGCAGGACACCCAAGCAGTTCACCTAGTGGGGGTCCCATGGCAGGATGGGGCTTCGGTCTTCCTACGTCTCGTGCTTATGCTACGTATCTTGGAGGATCACTTCGCCTGCTGTCCATGGAGGGCTTGGGTACAGATGTGTATTTGCGGTTAAGGCACATTGATGGAAAGAAGGAGAGCTTTCGCATTTAATGCAGGAGCACTTCAGCTCCCAGTGAGCATGTTTTGACCTCAAGGAGTCTGCTCTTCTTGCCACCAAGGGTACTGATTCTCTTAGACAATTGTCCTTTTAAAAATATTGCATGTTAGGGAAATATCTGTATGTCAAAAGAAATAAATGACAGGAGTTCAGCAAAGCTAAAAAATCATTATCCAACAAAATATCCCATGTAGTCAGCCAATTAATCCAACATAAATCCAAGTTATTCTCAAATGAAGTTGAACTTTTCAGGCTCTACCCACAGAGTGCAGATGTTTTACTTCATTTTATACTTTGCATAGATCTGTCATTTAAGAATTGAAGGTCACAACAATATCCTACTGGTTTATCATAGCATGGTCTCAACTCATACTGAATATAGGAAGTGAATGTTAAGGCATTTTCGGTTTACCATGTGACTTATTTGGCAAATGATTTTTCCGTTGTAGGCAAATTAACTTCCATAAAAGTAACAAGTGACAGTCTTTCAATGATTGCTCCAGTGTGGTAGTCAATAAGTAGGTTCAATGTATCTTATTGAGACCGCAAATCGCACCCCATTATGAACAGTACTGTGAGATTACATAGAGATTACATTGCAATGATTATTTAAGTATTAATATCATTAAAATTATTAAAAAGAAGATCAGATTTGTTACATTAGTCTCATATTGAAATAGCTATTTTAATGCCGTGAGTTTGAAATTAAGTCATATTTATGTTTTTGGCTTCTTAATCAGATTAAAATTGTAATTATTATTTAATTCTAAAAGTCTGTAGTGAGACTTAACTCGCTGATTATTTTTACCACAGAAGGCATTTATTATCTTTTATTGTAATAATGAAATAGATTAGCGCAAAGTTTATTAAAATATTATTGTGGACTCGACGTTTTTGTTAACTTCTTAGTTATCGTATGTCGAAAGAAAGATCGTTTTTGTTTGTTGCTGTATGCGCTGTTCCCTGTCGTTTTCCAAACCTCAAATGTTCAGCGGGCGATCTCGAGTCTCGAGTTCGTTTCGTTGCTTCCAGTTAGAACCCTCCGTGATTCCTTAAGAATATTCTTCATTTAGCTTTGCTTAACTAAAGCGTCTTTGTCATTTTTAAAAACCGACGAAACCTGTTTCCCTACCCACAGCAACAATATTAGTACACCTCATCAGTACCTTAAGTGAAACATCAAGTTATGGGGCTTGGCAGACAGAGTGTCCATATCGAATAGGTGAGGGCAACTGAAAAGGGTGAGGTATCGTAAACAAGAAGAGGGAAATTGAAGAAGATTAGCAGATGCGGCAGCCTTAGAATTCACCTTTGCATATTTTCGGACTCTTTTCTCGCGTTTCTGATAACAGATTTATCAGTGACGGCTGGAGGTCAAGCGAATTGTGGACGTGCACCAAGGTGAAGTGGCGTATGGCGTGACGCTTTTGTTCAATAATTCGGAACACTAGCGCCGTCCCACGTCCATCTGCCTGTCAGAAAGGTTGGGCAAAGTCAAGGAGATAGTGTATCCCTTCAAGACTCGTCCAAACAAAACAGAACGATTCGATTGCAATGAAGAACATGTGGTGACAGGTAATCCCATCATCAAATGGGTGTGTCTGTCTGAGAGCCTCTTCACTAGGTGTTGATCTCAAACTAAACGGACCTCTTACCAAACTTGTGTTGCAAGGCTGCTACTGTTTAAACTATGGGCTTACCACACAAGTACATGATGCAAAACTACCACTGTCTACATCAAAATGAGACGGCGTAAGTTCTAAAACACGAGGCTCGCAAAATTTGCATAATGCATGCCAAACAGTTACAAGGCCTTCCTTAGGGTCAACTGAGATTGAATCCGCAGAAATTTTTCGATGAAGATTTTCCGGAACGATTGACAGCTATGACTCGCACAGAAAATCGGAAAAAAATTGAATAGCAAAGAACGGATGTGGCTCCTTCCGAAGGTAAGAGGATTTCTCTTATTTTGTCACTGGTGTAAAATCGTGTTTCCGTCACCTCGTAGAAAAGCGCTATTTTCATAGTTGTTGAAAGAACCAATTTAATACTTCAGTAGACTCCCACAGAGTAAGTCTATAAATGTACCCGTGTCGAAAGTTCAATCTCTTTGCAATTATTTTCGGCGTCCCGTGATCAACGTCGTGATCCCATACAATTCATCAGTAAGATACAGCAGATGACGAAGAATTTCAAGTTTATATTACCCTATTAACAATTAATAATAATAATAATAATAATAATAACAAAAATATTGATATTTGAATAAAAATAAGCACAAGAGTATCGTGATAAAAAGCATGTGTTTTTACAACGTAAGATTAAAGTAATACTCGTAGAATAACATACCAAACATCAAAAGCAACTAAAAGGAAAACGAAGCAAAAAGGAACAAAGAAAAACCCGAAAAAAGTTCGACAAGAGTGGACCCGTGAGTGGACACATGATTATTCAAGTTTCAGAAAAAAGGAAAACTGGCAAATGAAAAGTCTTTAAGATCTCACAATAGAGAAAACTAGGGAAATCTACCTTCCAAACCATTCCAATAAAAATAATGATTTTAAGAGAATTTTCAGCTTCTTTGCAAAAGTATTGAGACCCTTAACACGAGTGTTCTCTGAGAATTTTTCCTTCTCTCTGATGCGCTAATGCTTTTTCGGTACCCATGAAACGTAAAGCTCCTACACGTGTTGTATCATTTTTTCCTTCGTTGACACTTAGTCTCCAAGAAACCCTAGAAATTTGCCAGGGATAAAGAACAGTTTTATCTTTGGTTTTGTGGTCTTATCAATGGCTATGTCCTTATCGCTTTTCAATAACTAATTTTCGCCTCACGCATAGTTTATGATATGACTTATTTATCATCACGTTCAATCTTAAAACGTATCTTGGCTATTCGGGCCAAAACTTGCCGATAGATTATTACATATTGTGCTTTATATCCATGCTCTTGAGATGTCGTTCAAAAATTTGACATGCACATATCGATTCTCGATCCACAAAGCTCTGAATGGCTAAATCTTGTGATTCCATTGTCTGTCATAATTGAAGAAAAAAATTCTTTTGTCACACAAAAACAAGTTGCTTGGAGGCGAGAGCATAAATTGCAATTTGGAAAGTAAAAGAGTCTAAGGATATTACGTAGCTAGAAGAATTATATCGCCTTCAAGTTCCGGAATTCAGAGGTAAAGGACAACCGACTTGTACTGGGCCCTAAATATCAGTTTGCCTTTGCCGTCTGACGTAACAGCAAATGTTTGTGTTCAATTGAATGACAATTAAGTTTGGGTTCCGCGAAACAAAAGGGAATTTTGCACGTCATTAGAGTGCAGAAAGTTGACCGTCAACAGATGTGACGGAGGGCTAGAGAACTTTCGCTTTTATTTTGGTTTACTTTGTCACAATACTTTGTTTCATCTCCCAAGTCAACGGCGTACCAACTACCGGCCGCTTACTGCCATGGCTTTTTCTCCTTGTGAAGGATACTACAATACCGGAGATCAGAGCAGGTTCGAGAATATGATGAAATTGTTGCTGTTCTTAGAGGCAGAACTTCAACTCAAAGAGGAGATCATTGAATTGTTGCTGGTTCGTATTGTACACTTTTGATGTTATTTTTGTCGTGTTGATCGTTAAGTAGCTGAAATATACACGCAAATACGCGTGTATGAGTTTGAATGAGTTCTTTTCAAATGGTTTTCTTTTCGTTACGGAATAGCTTCAACATTCAATATTAGATCTTCGAGTGTTCTATTCTACGAATGTTTTCGATATATGGATATTAGAATTTTGACGTTAAAGACTATTTTCTGAGCGCAGTTTCAAAGTCCCTCCGCTATTCTTTCATAACCTGCTTTGTCACGTAAGTGAGCTGGATGCAAAATATGTTGCATGTCGCTTTACATTGAGGAGCGAATTTGCGTTAACTTTGCGACATCACACAAGCGTATTGTTTTCATCACTAATTTATAACCTCCGTCTTGAATTTACTATTCGTTGAGGCGACCGAATTTCGATCCGTCCTTCGCGATCAAGTATCGCTTTTAAAATCTTGTTTGATAATAAGCTAGTCAGTGATCGTAGATAGTAAAGCCCGTCGTTCTCTTAAGTTTTTCTTGAGTATGGCTCAACTCGACCGAGTATTTTTTTGTAAATAACACTTGCGCGGGAAGCCACATGCAAGCTGGGCAAAACTCCGTTTCCGTCATTTGATAAATGAGTCTACATTTGTATATTTGCTTTAATGGATTCGATCGTATTCTTCTTTCGTTGTGTGGTCATCAGGTTCGGAGATTCTTTGATAAGAATTTTATAAAATTAGTTTCCATACTCGAAGAAAAAATGCTGTGTTAATCATCGATTGCTGTAGCTCCCTTACGATTCAATCAATTCTCATAATGGAAAGCGTGGGAAATTTCGCGCATAGTTTTTTTTCCTTCTTTGCGAGAACGTGAGTGTACGAAATGACTTCTTATCGGAAGGTCAGGGAACTATAGTCTATCGCCAGCTTGTTGCAGTGGGAATTGCGTAGATCTCCAAGTTTCTATTTAGGAATTTGCCGTGATCTTCTAGCTTTTAAATACAGATTTCGCTCTGATTTTCAATTAACCGCTTTCGTTGTGACTTAAAAGTTTTCAGTCGATATTGAGTGACCTGATTCGTCAACGGAGCTAGTGATAAAACCACAAAGTTTCGGTAATATTGTTTCAATTTCGCTTTTACCCTGAGGGTCTAGCGAAATAGTGTCACAAAATTTGTTCCACTGAGGCTACGTGGGCTTAATTTGCCGGTCTAAATTTTTTTTTTGACAGACATCAAACGTATTTCTAAAGACACTGCTGGAGCCCCGCTGTTCCGTTCAAATTTATCACATATTTCTTACCCCAAGGACTTCTGAGACGGCATGATCCTGACATTTCGCTATTGTTCGTGACAAGTGAACTTTCTATCTTCATCAAACCAAAAGATCACGTTCTGATGGTTTGAGTTATTTTAACAGTGGGGGCTATAGAAGAAAATAGATTTTTTATCACGTGCTGGAACTCTGTGGTTTTAAACATAAATAGCGTGTTATTCAACATATTTTTGTTCGTTTCACAATGCAAAGGAAACCATTTGTTTGCCTATGAAAAAGATGCGTTCTGCACAGCAATGATAGTAATTATAATAACATCTGCTTCAATAATTGTTCTTCATAATTAGAATTTCGGATTGTTGTTAGCACGGGTTCTTAATGTCATGGATCTTGGAAGCATGAATCATTTATGAGGTATTCTGTACGATTCAGTCTATGTTTTCTTTTCAGTGCAATCGTTCATTTAATGAAGAGGTTTAAGTTAATCCGATTTTTCACAGACAAGGATTCTTTCTGCTTTCATCATAACTGCCGCCGCTTTCAGACGTTCCTCGTTAGTCCTATAATAAAAGTTATGCGGTTTAAGAACTTTTTAGTATTATTTATCCGATTTTGAGTGAATCCTCACAATATTTTTGAGTCATAATTGATATATCTACAAGTAATGTTTGCTAATAATTAATAATTATATTTTTTGCCTGAGAGTCAAATCTCTTAACAGAAACTTTCTTTTTTAGAGTCTGCTCAGGTTAATGTGGAAAATGTTGGCTGTGTACTATAGTTTCTTGTTCGCGGTTTTTATTGATATCTCTTTACTCATTTCATTCTATTTACCAGGAGGACAAACGAAATCAGGATATTCTCAATGAAAAATTAACTCTGCTAAACCGGAAAGAGCAGCACGACCCCGTCTTAGCCCTGGGGCGAGATAACGTCTATGAAGAAGAACTATGGGAAGAACATTTTGATGAGTGGGAGTCTGGTAAGGACTCCTCGTTTGATCACTTGGTTAAGAGTAATGCCAGTCAGCTGTGCGCAGTTGCTGCCATGAGAACTATAGAAATGGCGCAGGTGCAGCACGCAAAATACATCAAGACCTACAAGTCCCTTGAGAAAACTGGCAGGAGTTACAAGAAGGTAGGCTTGCATCCAGACTTAGGATGCAGTAACTCTCTACTTCAACGTCTATGAGAAGGAGTTACTGCACGATTGTTTGGGTTATTTCTTGTGAGAAGACAACTGCTTTTCTATAGAGTGAAACCTGAACGTAATGGTTTGCTTGAGCAAACGAGTGCTGGAGAGTTAGTTATATACCACAAAGTAACGAGGATGCTTAGAGATGGAGAATGTAAATCCGTATTCTAATGACAATCTTAAAAAACTTAAAATACATTTAACTTACATTAAACCTTAAGGTTGCTCGTAAGCCTTACGGGATCTACGCTTACCATGCCCGCTCTAATAACTTTAGCAAGACTCACCCCCAGTTGAGAAGAAGAATTGATTCTTTTTGTTTGCATAGTTAAGGCTATGAAAGTGATCTACACCAACAAAGCGTTGACGAATGTTTAACTTTCTCTTTTGCAGTTAAAACAGCAGTTAACTGCGAAGGAAACCAAAGTAGAAGTTAAGGACACGAATCGGGAGCCTGAATCCGATTGGGAGATACGTGAGCTCGAAATGAAAATCGGAGAACTGTATCTTCAGATCGATAGTGAACGCGAGAGGAACGAAGAACTAGAAAGGAAAATCGAAGAACTTAATTCATCGATAAACAAGGAACGAAGGAGGTGCAAAAAAGTTATCGAAACGCTGGCCAATGAAGTAGAAAGGCTTACAAATCTGGTTAAAGCACAGGGGCGTAATGGACACCATTTGAATGGTTTTAAAATGAACCATGACAGACAGGAATCCACCAAAATGGGCTCAAATAATCATATGAAGACTTTTTCCATATCGAACAACAACGAACTTAAACAGTTTTGCGTGCTATAGGAAGAACCCTTCCCGTCCTCGTCTCTGACACTTATTACAAATGCGAGAATCATTTTCAACAATCAAACTGGCACGGAAATCGCAACTTAGCCCCATGAACATAGGAAAGAAATTCGTGACGAACCTAAAGAGAGAGTTTGCTTGAGAGAGTAGAGACCCAAATGCTCTTAAAACTATGGTCCCATGAGAATCCCCTCTAATCCTACTAAAATCTCCCAAAACTAATCGGATTAGCTGTTGCCGTGGTAGTCAAGTGTTAGCTTTTTAATCGATCAATCAATCAATCAATCAATCGATTATTTACCCACGTAGTATCTAGTGATCTAGAAAGTTCGTTCACCATACGTACGTGCTATTATGTGTTATTTATCACTGCATAGGGCAAGGTGCTCTAGTCAAACGGTTTTGTTGCTTCCGATCGACAATCTTACACGTTAGGCTCTGCGTTACGTTTTGCGTAAAAGGTTTGAAACGATACATCGACGAAACATTGCTTGGGTGCAAACTTAAAGTTGGTGAATAAATTCATTCTGTTAAAAGTGTATGTTGGGTCTATTACCAACTTTGGTTATTTCACTTCGAGCAGATCAGTTGTTGGGTCTGTATACATCATGATTATTTCACATCGTTGTGGGATTTCTTGCGTTCAATCGACGCCATCAGTTTTCTTTCCTTTTCGTTTAGTAAATGTCATCTTAGATTTCCCCAGGTCTGTACAGTTTAAAATGATTGTAATTTTCATGAGCGTTGTCAAAGAAAACTCCTTTACATTTGTATTTTTTGTTATGGAACCAATCTGTTCCCTGTTTTCTTCCAACAAGTTTAGATCCGCATTGGGAAGTTACAAAGTAACAAAAGAATGACGAGTGAGTTCATTTGCGGTCTTCGCACCTGTTTATCTCAACTGTTTAAATATATTGCTTGTGTCAAACATGTTTCTTACATTCGAGGTGAATAATTAAAGGAGATTAGGTTGCCAGAATGCTTTTGCTTCCCTTTCCTATGACAAAACACGTCATCCTCAACCGATCAATGTGCAACGTGTAAGTGCAAACTGCGGTTGGGTCACACGTACATGTTCATGGCGGCTTGCGCTTCGTTCTGTGATAGTTCCATGTCTTAATGTTCATCGTTGTTATTGTTTTGAATCTAATTTGCTCAATTAAAGTTGAAAACCATGATGAAAGGTGTAGAGGCTAAATTGGCGTTCTCGACACTTTTATAATAAGCAATCAAAAAGAGATATGAATGCGCCTTGAAAGTTTTGGTTCCGTCTGTCAGTAGTTTATCTCTGTCCTTAAACAGTTAATAAACTTAAGGGTAGGGATATAAAAGTCAATATTGACTCGTCTTCAATAAGACTCTGTGAACGACAAAATTGTGAAAAGTACATTTCATAACTGAACAAAAGAGCTGATTGGTGGAGAGATAAACTCTGCGGGCGGCAGGTGCTATGGTTAAAAATAGATTAATTCTGATTGGTAGTTAAAAAAGAAACGAATTAGAGTACGCTTTACACCAACGTTACTTGTTACTTGGTTAAATTGTCTTTTCGGGAGGAAACGAGTTTCTTTTCCGTTTAGAATCGCTTTGAAAAATGGAAAATAAAAGTGAAAAGTCACTGAATGAATTCATCTCCGTGGCAAAAGGAAAAGAGGTGAGGTAAAATATTTGTTTTTAAGGGCTCAAATCAGAACGTTAAATGAATGCAATACACTTTAATTAACCGGCCACTCATAAAAAATTGACTTCCACTTTTTGCTTTACGACGAGAATTACTTAAAAGACGTACCATTGGGCTCCTTAGTAAAAACACAGATAAAAAATGGCCTTTAAACTAATCAGTATAGTTTTCTTTTCGAAAACCGATTTCGTAGTACATATTCCCTCTTAATTGTTGGTTGTCAGGTCAACACTTCAATGCGGTACTGAAAAAATATTTTGGAAGGATAACTTTACTTAGTGTACTTAATTTGTTCCCTCTGCGATACTTTTCTTTTCTTCTTGTGTCACGACTTTTCTGATCTTGTAATATTTTCTGAGGACATTCGATGATAAAATTAAAAGTCGGCAATTAGTAGCTCCGAAAAAAAATAATAAATTTTTAATATGCATAGTAGTAAATGAAGCTTATGGTTAAGAACCATTTTGTTTTAGTCCGCGCTGAAATTCCTTTTAGTTGTGAGTATTATCACGTTTGTTGAAGTATGTGCGAAATTCAAAACCTTATCCTCGCTTCATATTATAGAAATGTCTCATTACAATCTTGTATCATTGTTTTTCGTTGTTGTTACTGTTATCACTATTGCTGTTATAACTGTTCATCATTATGGTTATTAGTGTCATGATGATAACGATTATTATTATTATCATAATCGTTATCATTATTCCTGTTTCTTAACAATAAGGATCAGAAAGAAAGTACGAGCCAAAACTTCCATTACAGAAGGAATTTGAACCCACGCTTGTTTGTTCGTGGCACTTCATTATTATTCTTTTCCATAATTTTTTACGCCCTCCCTTTTGATTTTTGAATTTGGCGTCATTTTTGTTAAAGTTGTTGTCACTGTTTTTGATTGAGCTGGTAATTGGTTCTATTTTTGTGTTTTGTGCTCGCTTCATTTTACTTTGCCCCCCGCCGTTATGTTTGGTTTGCCTCATTAAAAAACTCCCAAGCTAAGCAGAACTTGATATTTCCAATAAACACAGGAGGGACTAATTGGTTCCGGAAGCTTACCTAGTCTCATCAGTCCTAGACCAACCAGCGGTCAGGCAAGCCCATCCTCTCCGAGCCAGCAACAGCCAAGAGAAAAGATTAACGTGACATTCGTTTTCCCATTGGATGAAAAATACCAATGTCCCGTTTGTAAAGATGTGCTCCTAAACCCTGTGCAATTTGAAGAATGTGGACACAGAGTATGCGGGAATTGCTTCCCGTCGATAATAAGGTGAGGTTACCCACATTCGTTACAATTATTACGACTGGACCCTTTGGCTTCTTGGAAACTGATCTACCCCTCTAAACTCCCCTAAACCCTGAAATCTCCCTTCCGTACCCTGCAGAGGAGTTGAAACCGGGCGGTCGAAGAGCAAGTCCAGAACAAGTCCGCCATTTTTCCCTTCTCTCGTCGGCCTCCTGGGTTTAATCGATCGGGTTTGGAAGAAGGGAAAAGCAGGTGGGGGGTAGACTGAGGGGAAGTAAGTTCTTGTGAATGAGTGAAATCATCTTATGATTTATTACGAGATAAATTTTTTTATCCGCAAAACTACATGGATGTAGTTTGGAAGTTAATTTCACCCACATGAAATAATTTCTTATTAACAGAGTCGAGCCAAGATGCCCAATCGGCATGCATCCGATTGACAAGGACGCGGTAAGTAACAAAACATGAGAAAACGGATGCCACATCCATATTTTAAGTCAACCGGTCTTTTTATTGGAAACTCTGCTTACTTTTTTTTTCTATTAAGAGCTTTCAAAGGAGCAATTAGAAAATTAGACCTTTTTTACGACTGTATTGTAATATAAATCTTAAGTTTCCAATGTTCCGGGCTAAGATCAATATTAGCCGGACCGATCGTCCTGAGCAGTAAAGAACTTAGACGTCCGCTGACAGAGTACTTCATAATAGCATATAATTTCACTAACAACATTTTTCTCCTCTTTTTTTTAGTCGTATGTGGACAAAGCGTTCCATAAGGAAATTTTAGCGCTTGATGTCAAATGCAACAATCACGAATGGGGCTGCAAATGGGAAGGCGAGTTTGAAACTGTTCAGGTAATATGAACTATTTGGTTTCCAAGAATGATTTTCTATTCTTAATCTCGAGGAAATTTAATTTACAATGATCAGTCAAAACCGATATAACAAAGAATTAAGATCCTCTCTTGACCCAGTCATTCTGTAGGGATCTGACAAGAATTATCAGAAAAATACCATTCCATTTTGAAATCCCTCAAAACACTTAGTTGGTGCAGGAGCCCATTAATTAATGAGCTCCTGGTTGGTGTGCTCTTTCGTCACCAAGAGGTTGAAGTGACGATACTCCTCCCTTGAGGTAAATTCACTAAATATAAAGCATACAAAAGTATTTCCGCGTACCTTTGCATTTGTTTTTAAAAAAGCCGCTCTATCAGGGTTTTGTTAAAATAATACACTGCGAGTTTCGATAACGTCGAGTCTTTTTTCTTTTGTATTTGTAGAAACATGCTGCTGAGTGCGATTTTGTGGAAATGTTGTGTTCGTACGAGTGCGGAGCAAAATTTCAAAAACGATTTTTCCAGAAGCATGTAGACAGAGACTGTCCAAAGAAGATAATTGTCTGTCCTTACTGTGATGACAGACATCTTAGGGAGGAAAGAAAGGTTGGCTTATTATCCAGGTTATTTGAAAACTGAGAGGTAAACCGAGTCGAGGAAATTGAGATATCTCCTACTTCATCGGTTTTTCAAATCTGGGCGTCATGTTAAGTTACATATATTGACTTGGGTTTTAAGTGCTTTCAGTAACTGTAGTTCGATTTTTCCCACAGAAATGCCCTATAGAGCACTCGAATTATACTGTCAAGGTGCCAAAGTGATAAATGAAGCAGTGCAAAGAATTGTGACGAAAAAAGGGAAAGAGCGTTGCGGTTCCAAATCTGACTCTTTTTCTTTGCTATTCATTGTGTCACTTTTATCCAACAAAACGCCAGAAAAAACTATATACAAAGCCGATAGACTATTTTGATGACTTAGTACTTTCCTCACATACAGTAATGTTTTGAGAAGTGACTTCCCCTCTCGTCACCTTTTCACTCAACTCTAAGCTCTCTTGAATGTATCACCTGTTTTAGATGCATATGGAGGATTGCCTGAAGCTTCCAATGCCGTGTCCCAACAAATGTGAAAAGAAACTTGTTATCACAAGGGATCAGGTGAGGGGTACATGCAAGGGCGAAGATTTATATAGTTGTTACTGTTGTTGTTAAAATGGTGGAAACGATGACGGCAATATCACTGAAGACAATCGCAATAAAAACAAAAACGTCGAAGATGATGTTAATGAAGACGATAATAATTGCGATAAGAATTTGATGGAAACAATAAGGAGACTGGAATGAACATAATAAGGACGAGGACATAAATCATGTTGAAGCAAGAAAAATCAGAATTGTTTTCTCTCGGTTGAAGGTATCGACAGCGACGTTTTAAAAAGAGACAGATTGTCTTCCCAGAAAACAACTAACATTACTTTTTTAGATATGAAGTTCTTATGCTCATGTGATAATTTACGTTGCAGTTAGATTATCACGTCGGTGAGGAGTGTCCTAAGACAAAAATGACCTGTGAATACGAAGACATTGGCTGCGTTCACAGAGTAAGTGCAATCCTAAAACTGCAGGTTCATAAAAAAAATCGAACCATGCTCTTTTTAAGTGGTCGAAGTATTTATTTCTTGCAGTGCAACCGAGAAAAACTACCCAAACACCACAAAAGTGAGCTGATCAATCACGTAAGAATGCTCCATGGCGTTGTCATGGACCAGAAAAGAGAACTTCTGGAATCCAAAGTCCTTCTTAAAGAACAAATGGACACAATCAGCCAACAGCAAAAGCGCATCGAGGACCTGGAACGCATTACTAACAGCCAGTTGATCTGGAGGATCGACGACTATCACCGGAAGTTAAAATCGGCAAAGAGCGGAGAGTTGGACACGATATTTAGTCCAGAGTTCTACACGAGTAGGAATGGATACCGACTAATGGCTTCCGCTTGTTTGAACGGAGACGGCAAAGGGAAGGGAACGCATTTATCTGTGTTTATTAGCGTTGTTCAAGGTAAGTTGGCAACGTACGATATACGTGGGCCTCAAACAAGAACGATCTTCAGAAAAGGCTATTGAAATAGGTCAAGATTGGCTGAGGTCGCGTCTTAACAAAGTTTACAACTAAAGGAGCAATACATGTTATATTCGTCAGTCACCAGTGATAAAGGTTCATGTTGACAAAGGATGGTACGCGTTTCCATTCCGATAACAATTATAAGACGTCTTAAATAAACGAAGACATTTTTCAAGGAATGATATAGGAATACTTGGAGAAAGAAAACTCAGAGTGCTCCCAATCGGACCCCCTACCACTGAGCTAAAGGAGGCTCGTGGCAGGCTAGGCTGTTTAGAAGTGTTCGCTCTAAAAAGGGAAATAATTATTTTTGATACTTTTATTTGTTGTATTTCATAGGAATATACGATTCGCTGTTAAAGTGGCCATACAACTACCGCACCACGTTCTATCTATTGGATCAGAACAAAGACCTTTCCAAACGGAAACACATTATGTTTTCAGTTAAACCAAATGTGTGTCCTGAAAACGAGCCGTTTCTTGGCAGGCCCAGGACCAACAAAAATCCTAGCTTCGGCTCTGGAAAATTTGCTGCACACGAAGACATCGAGAAAGGAGAGTACATCAAAGATAACACAATGTTCATCAAGGTTGTTGTGGAATGCGACGGAATGAGTGAACCTTGATGATATGATCAGGAAAGGCTGGGTTGCCGGGACAAACACCCATGAATCTCTAAGAACGAGACGTGAGAAAGCTGAAGAAATTCAAGGCGACTTCCACGCATGCTTTTCCGCTCCTCAGTCTCTTCTACTACCGCTATAGCCAGTGTATGAGCATAAACACAGTAGTCAGAATAACTGCTTTATATATTCACTCATGATTACTCGGATAGACCATAAACGATCACCTCGAACTAAAATTTAATATTACTTCGAACCCTCTTCCACTCTATTTACTCCATCCATTTCTCATGTTCATCAGTCTTAACATTTTTTAAGTTTGAGTTGTATTAATGAATTCTCACGGGAAGATCAGATGCCTTATATGGCTTAGTCCCAAGCCTGCAAACATCTTTCTTTTGACATTAGCCATGCTCTACGTTTTGCAGATTTTGTTTTGTTTACACTAAATTTCCAAGAGAGCTTTCTTGAGCCCCATGACTGTCTCACCTGCAAAACAACTAATAATTCAAGGGATAAGTATGTACATATACTCCTGTAATACATGTTCTGAGAAAACTTTCAACCTCAGGTGGTCAATATTTAGATATACTCAGGCTACATTTGTTCTCAATAGCCATCAATTATTGATCAGATCTCCAAAGCGAGTAAAAAGCAAGTAGATGTCCATGAATTGTATAATTATATACCTTCAGTAATGGCTAAGCTACCACAGCACGAGCTTAAGTTTCGGAAACTAAGAGAAGAAATCTTTTTTCTCCCCGCTTCCCATCGGCGGGAGTTATGTATCTAAGAAAAACCTTCATGTATGCTATATTTACTCTATGTATTTGTCCTGAGGCATCCGACATGAAGCGTGCATTACTGTTACGATGTTAATAGCTGAAAGATGATAATGCTTTTGTTTAGCTCCATTTGCTTATTATCACGATGACCTGGCAATTAGAATTTCTCGAACTTGATAAGACAGTGAGCTTTCATTTCTTCTCTGAGTAATGAAGCAGGTGAAACACGTATACCACTCTGAAAATTATAATTACTGCTTCGGCAATCAATTCTTAAAAACACATGGGGGAAAAAATATCAGATATTCAAATGACATTACAACATCCAAATAGTTATAGAGAGCAACTATCTTGACCGAAACTTGTTAAGCTGTAGTCCTGCTTAGAAATCCTCTCTCATTCAAGGGACGTCATACAACTGATTAGTGGTACTCCATGCAGAGCTATCAAAGTGTAAGTTCATCTCTGTTTAATAATGAAATTAACAGAGCACAATTCGCACTTTATGTAAATGCTTTCATCCGATCCTGCTTGCCACGTTATATTACATATTTTTTTTTTATTCTTAAAATGAACAATGACAAGAATGACAAATTATAAACTAAATCAAGGAATGCAACCGTAATACCAAAACTCTCCTGTTGGTTACCGTGACGACAGTGTTCGAATTTTGCATTACAAAATGGTAAGTATGAGAAATACCTTCCAGATAACAAAGCAGCAAATAAGCGAGCGTTCCATCCCTTCGACCTTGAACCTGGTGACACGTTTATTTATATCATGACGCTGTAGTTGTCATGAGGATTTCCTTTATTGATTTTAAAAGTGATTTAAGATGGGAAGATTTTGAAAATTTTTTAATAAGTTTCTCTATTATTAGCTGTTCTATTTTTACTTTTTTAGAAATCTTTGAAAATAATGTTTTCTGTTTAATTTTCTTGGTGATGCCGTGGAGAACGAGATTCAACCGGCGCTGAATAAGATAAAATTGATAGCATTACCTCTTATCATTTCTAAGTATGAAGGTTTTGTAGCTGTAGATTGCAAAATCACTTTCAGTATTTCATTATAAAAACCAAAATTATTGCGAGTGAAAGTTCGCTCTCGGTTTATTTTGTTAAGCATGACAACAAATACATAATCATCTTTAAACCTTCGGCCTGATTCGTTGAGTTGCGAACGTTTTGAAGTGGCAGGTGAAAAGAACATGGTACGCCTGCTGTGATTGGTCAGTCGTGGAACCTTACTGAAGGCAGGTGCTGTATTGCGGTAAAGTTGGTTTTTATAAGTTGCGTTCGCGGCTTCTTTCGTGTGGATAGCTTTCGATAAAAAGCTACGATCTTTGAAGTTGTTTAACAAGATGCCTGACATCGGATCGAGCCAAACTGTTCAAGAATCACCACACTTAAACGGAAACGTTTCTCAAAATGGAGAGAAATACCCCGACAAAGAGGTATCTGATAGACGAAGTCGTTTAACTAAGAGCATTGCTTACTCCGCTCCGGGAAATTATGCACAACATAGATGAGGTTTACACCGATCATTTAGTGTGATCTAAGAGTCCATCTTAATTCTTGCTGGCACGCTAATTTTTTTGGCTTTGTCAGTGCACTAAGATTATGACTCTTAGCTTGGACCGCAGAAAACATCCCCGCAAATTTACATTGGAGTGGAAAACATCACGTAAATTTTGCACTCTGTTAAGAATAAAAGACAGCGGGTAATAAGTTAAAATAGGGTCGAGCAAGGTCATTTTGCGATAAAATTTCGACTTAACTTAGAAGATATTGCGTTAAATTTTCTCGAAGAACAGTACCGAGTTTCTGCTGACAATGTGTTATGGCCTTTACACACACAGCACTTCCTTGCGTAGCTGTGGAATTTTTAAAAGTCCTTTAAGATGGGGTGGTCTAGTTTGATCACACATTTTAAGGAAAGAGGAGTTGTAAGAGTCAGTAATTTGTGTGTCCTCACGTTTAGAATTTTATTCCTCCTGGTAAACTGTCAGAAGAAAGGCTAATTAATGCTATCGATACTCAGTATTATGTGAATTGCTGACTGAGTATAAGTGCTAGGTGGCTGATGGATATAGTTTTACTACTGTGGAACAATGGTGAATAATAAGCACTGTTTTTAGCTGAATTTCACCGCTAAACTTACGGGAAGCGGAGCACAATCTTTATTCTGACATTTTTCTGAGGTATTAGTTTCAAAAAGCGGCGTGTTCAGTAAAATTCATGGAAACAAACTACTAAGTTTCAAATTGAACGGTAGACCTGAACTGTCAGCATACATAGAGGGATTTGATGGATGGAATTGTGAAAATGTTTCGGAGCGAAATCACTTCATGTTCACCAATGGTACCGAAAATTGTAAAGTTTCAATGTCGAAGCTTTTGAAAGTCGGCTGTTTTTTAATCTTCAAGTTTTTATGTTTTCAGAGAGGAAAAAACTATCACTGTAAAGTTTCCTTAATGGTCTTTATTGAACACGAACCTAGTAAAAATATTTTGAATGTTGGGCGAAAACAATAAAGACGTATATCGGATGAACTCAACTCAGTCACGAAGAAGTTTACGATAGACGTAAAAATATACGTAATTTTAATTTATAAACAAATCACCTCAAAAGACCACCAGAAAAAAAATTATTTTTCAATACATTTCATATGCATTTTCTAATGACGCACAAGATCATTGGCCGTTTTTGTTTCGTTTATTTTTTTGGTTTTTCGGAAATTTATTATCACCGCAAACTGTGAAGTTAGAAACAAACGTATGAAGCATGAGTTCATTCGTTTTCTATAATTTACTTTTGTTGTTATATCATAGTTTTCGTTATTAACTGCCTCCGCGATGAATAATTGTATATCCCACTTTGTGGCTCATTCCGTTTTCCGCCAGTGGATGTTAGTTTCCTGAAAGAATCAAAACTTATTGAACCTATAGTTTATCAAAAAAAAATCATAAAAATGTTCTCGCTTAGGAAACTATCGTGATCTGACAATTCAAATTCAAGTGACAAAGGTTTGAGTATGGCATCAGTGAGGATATTAAATTGGAGCGAAAAATGGAAGTAGTCGATCGAGGTCTGACGTTGCTTGCAAAACACCTTTGTTGATTGACGCCTGAAAGCAACTGTCGACTTTCAGCCAATGATATCATTCATTGCATAACATTCTATTCAATAATTTATCATACCTGATAGAATTGACTAGCAAAACCTTGAAGTTATTTTGAACGAACACATTTCATCTATCTTTATACAAAGGCGTCTGGTATATCACACGAAATGTTTACGCTCGTTTTCACCGTCGTTTAAAATTTAACGATTTGTTTTCATTTACCGCAGCGTCACGAACATGACTCAAACGTGGCTGAAATTGTCTTGATCTTTGAATGTTAGGAAAGTAACATGACCGGAGGAAGTCACAGTCCGACTGGAAGTGCGAAGTCTCGGGGAAGCAGTCGTGGAAGCCCTGCTCCAAGCCAGTTAGAGCGGGAGAAGTTTGATCTGTCACTATTTGTGTATCCTTTGGAAGAGAAGTATCAGTGTCCAATTTGCGGGGATGTTCTCCGTTATCCAGTTCAATTTATAAGGGAGTGCGGACATCGCGTTTGTTGCAAGTGTTTCGACGAGCTAAAAAGGTTGGTCGTTAAGATACAATTTTGACGCGCTATTGTTTTATCTTCGTGAAATAAAGATGCACATTTTCAGTTTCTGCAGTTATTAGTTTCAACCGCATTCTAAATTCATCATTGCGTGCGACGAATTAATTTAACTACGCGTTTTCACATCGATTTTCAAGCCGCTTTGCTGATTGAATTTACTTGGCGAAAATTAAAGTTTCCATTTTTAGCTTTCACTTAGTAACCGCGATCGCTTCCATTTTGACAAAATTAAAAATGCAAGGATTTTGCAAAAAGCAGTTTGGTCTATTTACGTTAAATTTTCAGAGCGTGTTAAATTTTGCAAAATAATTGATTCTAATATTAGCAATTTTAGTCTCTTATTATTAGAAAACGATTTCTTATCGTGAAAAGTCGTGAAACGATACAGCCGCGCGAAATGAAAATCTTACACGTTGGTTATTTTAACTCAATTGTGAATTAATGTAATTCAAAGTACTTACGTAAAGGAAAAACCAATGCTAAATTGCTTTCGCGTTACATTCTAATTATAACCCTCATTTCTCGGGTATAGAAGCATTCTTAATAGAATAAATGCGAAGACTTAGAAGTAATTTTCGTTTAGGGTAATACGTAACTGAGTAATGAATTTCATCTGTTCAACTCTCAGGCGCTCGATAAACAAACACAACTTAAATTCATGCAATTGGGGGTCCATTTTACGCCTTTAAAACGGATCGTTCGATTTCTTTCTTTCTCCCTTTTAACCATCCAATTTTACTGTATGAATTCAATGATGTTTTTTCGCTTCCCCTTTTACAGGGTCGAACCGCGGTGCCCGGTGGATCAAACACCAATCAGCAAAGATGATGTACGTGAAACATTAAACTTGAATGTCTTTTTAAATATTAAGTCAGTAGCAGGAATATCTTATTCCCTACAAGTTGCAGTTTGCATATTCACTTTTTAATCTGTTTGTATACAACTTCAAAATCAAGGTTCTCCCTCCAACTAATTTGATTTGAAATCTGAATGAAATGGGAAATCAGGATGCGATCAAAAACAGATGTTTTTTTTATTTATATTCGTATTGAGTTCTTGGGAAAATATATACTTGTTGTTGACTGTCTTCAAAGCTGGACATCTCCACAGGTTTTCCCCACCAACTCCAAACAAACACTTTGAAAAAAAAAACGTGATTGAACAATTGACTGGGTCTAACTGGCACGTGAATCAAACTGATATGCGATTGTATCGTTGATCCTTACTTTCATAAATGAAAGTGATTCCGACCTCATCTGAGGTCAATGCGTAATTACCTGAGTTGAAAATCACTCTGTGGAGTCATGTTACGAGCAATTTAAGGATGGATAAAATAGAGCACCAGCCTTAATTACAACTGAGTGAAAGTCATCGCCATACAAAGATTTGCTAGTTTCTCTGTGCAGCGCAAAAATAAGCAATGTGTCTGCCATGTTCTTTACTTCTATTTTTTTGCTAA